GCGTCGTGTCACCAAGTCATTATGTGACTGTGTAAACTGATACTGCCACCAACTCAGGTTTCTGAAAGTATTCATGGTTGTTTGCAGAGTCAACAAACACAATCATCAGAGTTTGACCCTCATCCAACAGGCAGACTGTCATAAACAAAACTGTCCGGGAAGGAACACACCAGAGACTCGCTATAACAATTTAAAAAAAGCTCTTTCAGATAACAGCAGAGAGTGGGGACGGCAGATGCAAATTCTATATAAAACAAAGAGAAACTTGTGTTTGGACATTAGAAATGAATGTAATAGAGAATGATGATGATGTAATGATACTAGAAAGCGAGTAGTATTTGAATACTTACAGAGAAATATGCTAATTTACTAGTAAGTTTTGGCATTGACCCGTTATGAGCAATGATACCGCAGTACACAATATTTAAAATACAACACAGTCCTCAGTTGCTTTTCCTTCGCAGTTACTTTTTTGTAGGCTTACAGTACAGGTGTGAAAAATAACAATTCAAAGCTGCTGTGCCTCTCAGAGCTGCTGCCTCTGAGAGCTCAGACTGACAACTGTTGAAGAGTGCTGTCACACAGAAATCTTTATGAAAATGTAGAAGTTGAACAATGAACAATACTACATTATCTGTCCCTGCATAATGTTGCTGTTGGATCAATTACTCAATATTAGGTTCAAAAAGTATTATGTAGCTCGAACCTCTGCCAGATCTTCTCCACGTCTGCAACAGATACTTTTGTGATTTTCAATGTGAGAACATTTTGATATGTTTGATAGCATTGTGTAGCTCAGTGTATGAAACATATTATCATTTTATTACATATTATCATATCTTCCATTTATCCCAGAGATACAGACACAAGAAAGAGGTTGTCAGTCTCCAGAGACTGTTTGGCCAACTGCTGCAGTCCTTTACCTCTCATCTGTCTTGGATTAGACAGCAGTCACCACCATATAAATACCCACTTATCATCTCAGTACTTTATCCTCCCCTGATACAAGCCTGAGATGACAGAGACAATAGTGGACGCCCATTGCACCAAGTCCCCCTGGAGGCATGTCTCGACTCATGGGCTGCATTTAACTTTTATTACCCAAGGAGATGGATTGGCTGCTCCCCACCCTTATTTGGTGGTGCGGTGTGTGTATACGAGGGGTTGTGGTTGTAAAGAGAAGGCAGCCGTGGCTCAGTCTGAGCGGAGCCAGGTAACTGAGGAGCCCTGCCACCAATTTGCAAAAAGCTGCTCTCAGAGAAACCATGAATCATGGCTAATTTTGCTTTTGTATGTTTTTTGTAAATTTGCTTAATTTTTTCACAATACAGTACTTACATTCATACTTGAGGCTCTGCTGGTTTGTTTTTGGATAGAGGTATGCATCTCCAAAGCAGCAGGGTAAGAAAGTTAGGGAACCCAAATCCAGTGTTGACAAGCAACTACCATACTGTGTGCAAGTGTCCCTGAAAAAGATAATTTTTGTTAACTTTTAGCTGCAAAGCACTTTTCTTACAAAATAAGTTGAATTTTTTTTATTTCTTTTTTTTTACTAAATTTGCTTTTATTCTGTTCATATAAATTTTATATTTTTTAAATTCAAAGAGAGCTATGGTTAAAAAAGTGAATTTAACTTTAGCTAAAGCAAGCTGCAGCTACCAGCTAGCTTTAACTTGATATAGCTCCCTCTTTTTGGCAGTAGGTGACTGTTTCTCTGTGACACAGAGTGCAGTAAGTGCAGCTGCGGGTGACAAGAGCCCACAAGCCACAGAGCAGTAATTGTGGTGTTTGGTTTTAAGATCTGTTTCTGCAAATTTTACATGCTGTTTTCACAAAAGGATTATACATTTGTATGTCATAATGATTTTTAATATAGTGAAACAGATGCCAAAAAGTAACATTCTGCTCTATTTTGACCATATATGTAGTTACAGATTTCCAGGATGGTACTGTATGTACAACATACAAAATTGTTATCTTTTCTGACTGTACTGGTCTTTAAAACCAATTGCTTGATACCAACTGTTATCCACATGCAACACTATTTTTGAGACACACAAATAAATTGTCACCTCCAAAACACAGGTAGGTGTTTGGAAGCGAGTCAGTTATTATAACATGCTCCACAGAGCAGGGACTCATCTATGAAGGAAGTGATGCTTTTCCCCAGAGCCGCTCCTCAGCTGCAGCTGCACCAACGTGTTTTGACCCAACACCCCGCTGAAGTGCTACACCTGACATGTGTGCCCTTTCAGAGCAGCAGGACCTATTCTCTGTGGACGGGAAGTTCATTTCCTCAGAGGATGGCGCCACACCTATTGAATTTTATAATGCCATATTATTATTTTTCCCACCCAAATGTAGCCTATTTCTGTTCTGTTTCTTTACACTTACTGAACTTGAAATGTTTTCATCTTTTTCTGCATACTCTAGTTCAGTGTACCTCAGAGAATATGTCTCAATAAAAACTCAGTACAGGTTTGGAGGTGTTGACCAAAACTGGAGATCAATTATTTCTTCCATTAAAAATAGATGTTTGTGACGCTCATGATGCAGGAAGATACGCCGCAACTGTAAGTCGCAGATAGGTTTTAGAAGGTGATAATTGAAATGTCATCACTCTGAGATGAATCTCAAGGGATTGCTCTGGGGATTCATAAACCGGGCAAAAAACTGTAAGCTCGCATTGTCTGAGTTCACAGCAGAAAGCTCAAAACAGATGGGGCAACATGTAACAAGTGAACAAAGAAATGATGTGCGGAAAGCTAGGGCCACAAGGTTATGGTAAAACCAGACTATAAAGCAAGCTGATAAAATGGCAAATTTCACACAGAGACAAGCTGGCAAGAGAAAATCTGGCGCGTGACTAGTGGATTCCGCATTTAAGTAGAGAAAAATACCCTAAACATACAGTCTTTCCTCGTTGGCAGCATTACCACCACTCACACTGCAGTTGGACACGGAAGGGTTAATCTGCTGCGCTCCCAGCCTGAGAGGCAGAAGTAAACAAAAAGAGTGAGGGACTGGAGCTTCTCTCTTGCTGCTGAAGTCGAGGCGTGACCCTTGAGATAGGCACCGGGCTATCATGAGGGCGTCTCCCTGAGTGAGTGGCCAGGAGAACAGAGAGTCCTTTGTCAGGGCTGTGTGCGAAAAAGTGCTGAGCCAAGCAGGCCCTCACCCCTCTCACCCCTCTCACCCCTCTCACCCCTCTTCCCCTCCCACCCCACTTTTTTTTTTTTTCCTTTCTCCCTGAAGACACACACAAATGCTTATACACACACACACACACACACACACACACACACACTCTTGTCTGTATTTACCAGCGGTCCCAGGGGACGAGGCTTTCACTTCAGCTGGTGGGGAGGTTGAGGAGAGTACAGAGCCCTGTTTTGTGGTTAAAACTGGATATGTTAACATTTGCATTCTGGGATGCATCTTTAAGCTTTAGTATAACATGCTGCAAGGAGTTTTTCTAACAGTCTGCAGTTTGCAGTTAAATCGACTTTAAGAGAAATGTCATCCTGCCCCGCAAAATGTCTGCTCTTCATCCCTGCACCATTACGAGGATTAAAATAACTACACAACAGACTCTGTGTTTACTGGTCTGCTTGCAATTTTCACTGTGAAATTTTGCCAAGAGTGCACAGGAAAAAAACAAAAAACTGGTGTCTATTTGAATGAGCCCTGGTTTTATTTACTCGGGCAAAATTAAAATCTTTCACATAAACAAGGACATCGAATTATTTCGAAATTAGAAATGAGAATGAAAACATGTCAGCGTCTCATTAGGTCCATATACAATGCGGTGTGCTCTGAGAGCTTCTGGGTAAACAAACAATATGGCACCATTCTTTGAAGAAAATTGACAATCTATAATTAGTAATTTGTCTCACATTTGTTATTAGACAACTTGTTCGGTGTGGATAAAGGGCAGGCAGCCTGTCTGCAAGCGATTTGTGTTGGGAATCTGTGTTTGAACATACAGAGACTCTCACGTACTGAACCCACTGCTTGTAATGCAGAAACAAGCCTGTGCCGTCTCTGTGAGTAGTGAAAACAGACAACAGCCCCAACGGTGACAGCTGTAACTGCTTTTGAAACATTAATATAAAAAACATCAGTTCACCCTGCAGCACAACACACTGCAATGTGTTAATCTTTATGAGGCTCAGGTCAGAACTTCTTTCATTTCCCTGAGGCCACGTCTTTCTGCACACACACATGTATATACGCTCCTTTAACCTCCCTCACTGCCCGTCTACACAAAGCAGCTGCCTGAGGGGAGATCGCTCTAGAAACCCGGTGACAGAAAAGTGAATCACAGTTTATGTAAGATTGCACCTTTACCCCCGCAGAGGGAAGAGGATGTAAAAAGATGTGCTGAGCTCTAACATTGCCTCCAGGGCTTATGAAATGCTCCTATTGTTCATGCTAAATTAACTTTTTAGGGACTTTCAGTGGGGTTAAATCACTGGTGTCTAGTCATAGAAGATGTTTTTATTAACTGACTGTGACTTTTTTGGGATTGTTGCTCATTGTGGCAGCAGACGCTTTTGAGGTGACGCACACATGACTGATTACTTCAATTTAAATGATCCCATGTGATTTTTAGCTATGTTAGCAGCCTGGCTCTATGTATGGCACTATCAGTCTGTCGGTCGGTCCAACACTTTGGTCCAGACTTGAACTGGACTACCGGAACAACTAAACTGTTGTTTGTGTTTCTTAGCATGCTTACACTCTAAACTTAGATCTGTTAGCATTTAGCTCAAAGCACAGCTGTGCCTACGTACAGCTGCTAGGACGGCTGTAGTCTCTTAAGTGTTGTTACTGGATGTCTATTAAACCTTTTGATTTGTGGACAACCTCCTCCACAGCCGGCCCTGTTTGCTTCATTTCATTCATTTCTAATGTTTTATTGAGAATGTTTACATGCACATTAGTATCCTTATAACAATCTCCCCCCAAGAAATGAAGCACAAGCCATTTTCAATTGTCCATAAAGTTTTAATGGAAAAAAAACAGCAATGTACCCATTTAACAACAAAAGAAATTAAGAGAAATTGTAAGATTTCGAGAGCCAAGCTCTTATGTACAGCATATTGCACTAGAAAAAGAACAAACATCCCCCGTCCTCCTCCGTTCCCTCCATCGCTCCATGTCCCACGCTGTTTGAAAAACTGCAGCAGACACAGAGCAGTCCCAACGATAACACAGCCAATGCTTTAACGAAAAAACTGCTACATCTGGCCTGGGTCTCACTTCAAAGGACACATGAATGTGAAATCCTTGAGACCACTCTGAACGTAAAGAAAGCAAAGTGAAGACAATACAAACCCGCCGCGCGCACAGCACAGGAGTCTGAGATCAGTTCCACTGTTCAGTTCATGTATTAAAAGAGATATTGTGGTTTTCACTCCATTAAATTACATTCAAACCCTTTAAGATACAGATTTTTTCAGGAATGTTGGACATGCATTTTTACTCCATTTACATATATTGAAAAAAGCCCTTGAACTGAGAGTGACACAACAGACCTTGCAATATCCAAAATTAAAAATGCCACAACATTAAAAAAAAAAGCAATCATAGAAAAGCAAAAAAGTTGTCTTGTTGTAGTTCTTTCTTTGTCTTCTTACAAAAAGATATGGAAAAATTTTGCTAAGATTTTTTTATAAAGATAGCAACAATAGCTGTGTCAAATTCATGTCTAATGTATAAAAAACACCAAATCACAGCACTTGACAGTAAAGATGCACTCTTTCTTGGATACTCAAAAACTGATTGAATAAATTTGATATTAAAGACACTGAAGGTTAAACAAATAAAAATAAATGTTTCACTTGAGTCAGGGTTGCAACAGTGGTTGGTAACGACAGGCTCAGATCAACACCACACCGACTGAGTGGCTGTTCAACCCATCTCACATACAAATAATACTGGGCACCATGGTGGCTCGTTCCTCCTTCAAATGTAAACCCACAGCCCTACTAGATTGTAGATAATAAAGCACAAAAACCCAGACAAGCTAGGCCGATCCAGCATATTACAGATCTTAAAAAGTTTCAGGAATCTAGAGGGGAAGTTCAGCACAGGAGTAGAAAGAGAGAGGCGCAAAATACAGTATACAAGTAAAAAATTGTTGTTGTTTTTTTTTACAGTGCACATTGATTGCAAACAGTCGTTTCTGATATTCAGAAGGTTTTGCGTTGGTGAAACTCGCCGTTCGTGCTGAGAGATGTCAAAGGTTGAGCCTGTGCCTCGTGAGCCGATGCGAGGAATCAAACTGATGGGTTTTTTTTTTCTATCAAGGCACAACGAACACACTTACTGTGTACTGTTTGTGCCAACTCTGTTGTATCAGAGTGCGTTGATCTCACAGAGCCCAAGTGACAAACGAGAGCTGTGACCAGTGACTTTGGGTAATTATGCCAAGTGTTGGTGATGATGTGGCAGGTCTGTTACTCACAAGGCACATTTTGTACATTTGATTGTCTGTTGTTCACGTGATCCGTAAGACTCACACCATTCGTGTGAGAACGCACGAGGCACATGGCTTTAGTCCAACCTCCCCGCACACACAGGCATCAAACACACACAACTGAATGCACATCAACAATGAGAAGGAAAAAAGACTGTACACACTGAGACAGCATCTATACAGTAGCACTGAGCAAATATACACAAAATAAATTAGAATAAATTATCGAAAAAGAAAACCAAACCAAATGAAACTTGTTATCGATAAGGACAGGGAGTAGTTAAACATGGCGATCGATGAAAGAGAGTGCAGGCGTGACGCTTTGGACTGAAGACAGTGTGTCATAATTATCAGAATTGGCTCAGCGTTCAGTGTTTGCAGGAAACAAACTTTTGGTTCAGCTCCTCGTGTAGTTACCGAAAAAACGAAATCTGTAACGTACTTCTATGTTGATGTTGAGTGGAAATTATTTGGAAAACATCAAAAATGAAACACCTTTGCTCGGTCAGCATCGTCTACTACATCAAAGACTGACAGCGCGGATGCATGGCGTCCTTCGCTCAAAGGCAGATCGTTAGCCGACATATTTAATTAACATTATTAACTACTCCCTGAAGAAAACATAAAAGAGAAGAAAAAAAAAACCATCAGTGTCTTCAAAAGTTCATATCATGAATCTACGACAGAGCGAAATAATACATCAAATGAGGAATTTTAAACATCTTATTTAAAGTCCTTAAAGACTCTTTCCTTACATTGAGAAACAGTGGCTGTGTCGCTGCAAAATGCTAACGTAGCAGTTGTCGCACGAGGATGTATAAACTTTGTCCTATACCCAAATGTGTCTGTGTGATTACTAAAAACGTTTTTCTGAACTGTACAGAAGCTGAAGTTCTCAGTGAAGCTCAATGTACCACTGGCAGTTTGGTGAAAGAAAGCACTTGAATGAAAGGGTGAGCCGATTACGTGTCAACTCACCGCATCAGCACATCGGGATTAAATCAGTGCTCGAGACATTTAGATTTAGACCTGTAGTAAAACAAAATAAAAATGCATCTCTGTAACTTTAACCCAAAATGTTTCTGTAACAAAGATATTTGTATTTCATTGAGAACACAGCCATATTCTGGGAAATGTCCTTCTATGGATGTCAGTGTGATTGCAAAATGCAACAGATCCCTAAGATTTTTACTTCCTCCCTCTGGCTTGAATATTGCTCACCCCTAACAAATGCTGATAAATGCCATCTCTCTCACAGGTGACCCCACGATGCAGCAAAGGGGCAAAGTTTGCGATTGTCGATCCAGCCAGAGAAAGAAATCCTGAAAAGCTTTAGGAAATGATGAAATTCATCCAAAGACTGTCAGGAGTCTGATTGTTTTCCAGTTCCCTGATCGTAATCCCACAAAGGAGATTTTGTTTGACTTTGTGCTTATTTGGCTTCAAAACTACTGCAGGTAACGGTAAGCACACACTCCTACAAACACATGATCACAAATGGAAAGCGTAATCACGTCGCAACTCGGCTAAAATATCTTTACTACACCTAAATTCAAGTATGCATATGTCTTTAACTCAACGGGATCGGAATCTACACAGTGGGTCGTTCACAACATGAGTGGTACTTGGAGACAGGGGTGTTGATGGATGACACAGGTTGATATAATGTCCCTACGTCTACAGTGGAAGCTGGTAAAACACGCATCTAAACTGAGCAACAGTGCAGCACCAGTGTGCGACACGTCATGACAACCATTTTCAACTTAGCCAGTGTGGAACAGTAAAGGACAGGTACAGGGATTATTGTTTTTCCAAGAATAAATTAGAAATGCGCCTCAAGTCCTCAAGGTTTTTAAGTCAGTAACTTCAGCACAGAAATGTCCACGTCCACAGTTTGTCGCCAAAAAAAAGTGGCCTAATCTGAAAATGTATGTCTTTCTTATGATTTCCTTGATGCAAAAGAGTTGTACTGTGGCAGGAGAGAGTAAGGCATTCCCCGGACTGATGGAGGTCCTTCAAGACTTGAAATACCAAATAAAAAGAGCAGTTTACTGTACAAAATAGGTAATCTTACAAATATTTCGAAAATATCTCTTCAAACACAATGGCTCCTTCTTGGAAAGACGAAAAAACAAAAACAAAAAACAAAAACAAAACAAAAAAATTGTAATCAGTCTCCGTCCAGCGGTGACCAGTGTTTTCTTCATCTCATCTTCATATTCAATTAGAAAACAAAATCCAAACCCGTGTTCCATCTTACAGTGCCATCTCTTAAAGTCTGGTCCCTTGTCCCTGTGGGGGAGGGACAAGGGTTGAGGCAAGGACCGGCAGTCCCTTCATCTCTGCTCTCGTCTCAGGCGGGGGAACAGAGCCTCTCTTGGAAACAGAAAGCCAAACAGGGCCATGGTAAGGCGCATCCAGGCAGGCAGGTTTTGTCTCTGATGCCTCATGAACTACGAGAAGACAGAAAAAACACACACATTAGGTTATTATGACCAGGGAGAGTTGTCAGGCTTTCATCCTTATAGTAATGAAAATGACTCCACAGCCTCTGATTTTGTCATAACAGGTTTCTGAGGTAAAATGTGAACCGTGGTAAACCCGGTGAGCTCCGACCATATGACCATGTAGACTTGGATGTTTCCAAAACAAGAGCTTGTGTCTAGCAAACATGTCTGTCACACGCACATCCTGCCCGATACTTCTGCAGAATATACAGTGTTCGGTGGCGTGGCTTTCTGATTCTGAAGACAGAAGTTCAAACTGTATTACTTTTCTGTTTTCTTGCGTGAAAAAGTAGATGAAAAGGATGTAAATGACCATGCTGACACCTGCAAAACAAGACCTTTGTAACCCCCAGGATCCTCCCCTATAAGGTTTGAGGGAGGAAGACTGTTGACTTCTAAACAAGAACCTCAAAGTGAAATGCTTTCAGAGAACGCGCTGCCTATTTCATCACAGCTCTCTTGTAATAGCGAAGTCAGCTGAATAATTATGAAAACAAAGCCGAGGAAACAGAAACTGCTCCCTCCTATGGAGCTGCCATCTCCCAGACCTGTCATGTTCTGTTGGGGTGTGCAGCCCGCGTGGACTGCAGACAGATGAAGCCTCCCCCCCCCGATCCTGCACAGCTCCCCACCGGCTTTCTGAACAGCCGCGCTCAGATATTGCAGCCTGTTGCGTAAGCACTCTTGTTACGATCTCTCTCCCTTCTCTCTCTCCATCAAGGTCTGTACCAGCCTAGCAATCAGAGTCCGCCACAGGCTATTCGATGCAGGACTAGCAGACTGAACTGAACTGAACCAGCACCGCTAAACGTAACCCTAATTGTCCTTAATTGCCTTAATTCTACACTGCTGAGCGTATTTAAACAGCACCCTGGTTTGTTTCACATGAGGCTCATCTTTCTGCTGTCACTTGCACGGGCAGTGGAGGATGGTGTGTATTCTCTTTGCCCTTTTTAGGTGAATGCACCCCTCATATGATTTAGAAAACCGACAGCGTGCATGTTTGCTCCTTCACTTAATGTTAGGATTGGATTAACCTTTCCCCCCACTGAAATTTCCCTTCAAATATTAGCATTTTATTGGCCGCAAAAGTCGACAAAAGTGATGGATGAGACTCAAACCGCAAGCAGAAGCTACTCCACATCAACAAAAAGCCACATATTAGCCCACACGGGCAACTTCTGCTTGTAGAGGCAAGTGAAAACGTCTAACAATAGCAGCAGAGACATTACAGAGGAGTGATTGGATATCATAAAGTATCACTTGTGATTATTCTCCCTTTGGAATATTCCCACAGTATCAGATGCTGCGGGATAAAACCAACTCGAGTGCAGACGGCAGACAAAAAAGAAAATGTTCGCTCTTATCTCTCTGTCACAGAGTTACACGCACAAACCAAAAACACACACAAAAGACGCACACTGAGGCAGTCAGCGGGACAACTGAGGTATTGTGGGTAGCCGTGAGTCAGACTCTATTTTTAGACGAGCGTATAAACAGCCGGCCAAGTCTACCCAGACACAGACATGCGGCTCACTCCTGCTTGTGACAGTCACATCGATCTCACCTTCTCTTTCTCAGGCTCTGTACATAGAGCACTTTCTTTTCATTCTTTCTCTCGCTCTGTTTCTTTTCTCTCTCTTTTTTCTTCTTTCTCTCCCGTGGCAAAACAGTCTCAGCAGCAGATAAGAAACCCCTCCCAGTATATTTGTACTTATTAACTCAGTTCACGGTCATGTGACTGATGTGAACTCTCAGCGAGGCCGGTAAGTGCTTTACAAACACTGATAACAGTAACCCCCGACCCGTTATCAAACACACTGTGATACCACATCTCGCCAAAGGACAACAGAACAGTGTGAGTGCAGATTGGACGGGGGACGTGTTGTCACTCGTGTCTTAAGACATCTGCGAAGATTGTGACAGATGTTTCAGCGGGTTTTATGTCTTGACATGCACAATTAACTACATATCATAAACAGCATACAGTACGGGTGCTTAACCGTTCCCTCGGGAGCTTCGCCAACAGCGAGCCTCCACGCTCAATCCCCTTCATCGTCTCTAAAGGCTTCACAAGTCCCAAAATGTTTCATGCTTCCTGTGTTATGTTCATCTGAGGACAGAGAGTGTATATTTTAGGTAAAGGACACGAGTAACAAACAGAAGGTTGTCTTTGTCTTTTAAAAGGAGCGGGCGTAGAGGGATAAAGGAAATGGAAGGGTGTCATTTAATCTGCTCGCCCGGCAAGGATTTCACTCATTTGTTTTCTTTTCTTCCGTCTTTATAGACCAGCAAACACACAGTATCAGTGCCACTGACACGGTATTGGCAGCTCAGACTGAGGTGCTGTTTCAGTAGTTAAGAAAACAAAGATGGCCTTGACCACAGTGCTAAACTAGAATCAATATTTAGATATTGACAGGGAGAAAGTGTGTTTCTATAACAGTATCGGCTGTCACAGTGTGTTGCTAGCAGCCAGTGACACTGAGTGAACACATAGTAGTTTTGTAGGTTTAGTATCCTGTATGAAGTTACTAAATCATGCCTTATTAGTGATTTTTTTCCTTCACTGTGGCCAAGAAAGTGGTTGAATCACTGCAAAAGTTATTTTTATCCACTGTGGGTTATGGCCAACCCAGCTGGCACAATGTCCGGCCCCTTTCTTCCCAAGACTGAGCCACAAATTGGCACGAGGTAGCTCTGTGTCTCTAATCGAGTAAAAGCTGACACGCAGAAATAGTTCATATGTAGCACAAGAACATAAACTTTTTGTCTCGACAAAAATAGTTGAAGCCCCAGCAGCTCCTGAGACCCCCTGTCCCTCGCTGCTGACTCTCTCAGCAAATAGAGCATTTAGTAGGGTAGTGTCCATTTCTTCTCTGAGGCAATGTAAGTCCACTTGTGTTCACATTGTTTACACATTGAACTGTTCTAAACGTGCAGCTGGTTGGTTTGAAATGGGAGGTCATTTAAGGATCCACTTCGCTGCTCTGAGTGGGGCTTACCAGTTCAACGTGATCCTGTTGGAACTTGTCTCCGATCTCCCGAAGTTTACGACCAATTTGGGCCTCGACGCTCACCCCCGCCGGCTCCTCCGGCCTCTCTGCCATCCTGTCATCTTCCTCCCCTCTGCCCTCTTCCTCCTCCTCTTCAATCTGCCTCTCTCCCCGGTCCTCCATGGGCTCAAACTGAGCGGGGAAATGTGAGCGTAATCCAGCGTTGCCTAAAAAAGGAAAACATCAAGCTTCTTAAAACTTGTGTTGTTGCATCTCTAAAATACCAAGACACTGTTGTCAGTGCCAAGACGGATATACGGCAAAAAGACATTACTGATATCAATTCAGTAAAACCACCAGACAGTGAAAACCCTCAGAAAACACTGTGCAGACAGTCTTGAGATAAGCCCAACTATCTTGATTACTATTAATGACCTCAAACACAGCTGCATCTGAGCTAAGACAAATATACAGTATCTACTTTACGCCGCCGCTATGTGGCTTTCTAAAACACAAACAGGTTTTATCAGATCTTCTCGGATGGACAAATTACAAGGTAGGCACTCGGAGTACAACCGAAGAGTCCACAAACAAGAAAGAGAGCGAGTGGCACGTAGGTGAAAGACTCAAACACCTTATTAAATCAACAAGGGCCTCAGTGAACTGCAGTCTTTCTGTGGACTGTGTCACTGAGTTTACTCATTGCCTCAAGCATGCGCTTCTGCAGTCATGCCACTTGGAGGGAAAACAATTTTTTTTATGTTATCATGTGTGCAGAATGTCCTGCTATTCTGCCGTCGTAGAGCATCATAATATCTCTAAGAAACTGAGCGCCCTGGACTGTGTTTGTGAGGAGAAATGGCACCGGGCCAAGTGCATGACATCCATTACTGGTTAGATTACAATGAACGACAGGGTAATGTTATGTTTATGTATTGATGGCTTTAAATCCAAAACAATGCAGCTCTCACACACTGACACTGAGTCAACAAACAAACAACATTCTTATTCTCAATTCAATTAGGGTGATGTCACACTGATTTGATTAGAAATGGGAAACCAATATTGGATTAAAACTGGTGGACATATTAGTGTGGGTATGTGCCTTTATGTATGTATTCAATTAGCGCTGTATTTTTATTGTCTGAAGAAATACTACTTTTAAATGCAAACTGTCTGGAATGTGATCATCATTTATCAGATTTAGGTCAATAGCACATTAGTAACAACAGTAATAAAGGTAAATGCAATTCTACACAGGAAACAAACATGCGTATTATAGAACAGGGGAAGGAAGGAAACTACAAGGAAAATTCATTTCTAGGACTTCTTCTCTGTTTTGCAGCAATAATTTAAAATGGAATTCAGTTTTTCCAGTAGCCCAAAAAAAGGAGAAAATACCTCTCCCGCTCTCATCCGATCTGACACTTATCAAATGAGACTGACAGTTTTAATCAGCTGGTTCCCAGTTAGTAATCTACCAGATAAAAGGAATGACTAATAGTGTGAGGTTGCACTGGACGTACAACATCCAGTGGCGCACACTCAGTTTCTAAAACCATAAGCCCTCATCACGTTGAGCAGGCTTACGCTCTCACGCCCCTCCTCACCGTGAAAGGGTATGCGAGGCTGCCGGTACAAGCTGCAGGGCAGTGTGTTAATGGCGATGCTGTTGTTGTTGTGGCTCTGCGACGTGGGCACGGCAGCAGTGACGGCAGCGAGGGCCTGTCCGGCCGCGATCTGTGTGGTTCGGTCTTCGTATTTGACGTCCCTAAAGGGCGTTCCCCAGAGCTGCGAGATGGGCCGTGACATGTCCTCCTCCTCATCATCCATCCGACGCCTCAGCGGTAAACTCCCTGGAGAGAAGAGGGGGACACGAGATGGAAACTTTAGAATGAGGGGACTTTTGAGTGTTGGTAATGGAAACAGAACATACAACAAACAGAGCAGGACTGTGTTGGACTCATACCTGTGAGTTTAGGATCTTTAGCTCGCAGGTAATTTGGGTGTGATTTGTTTCAACACCAAACAAAAAGTGTCAAATATCATGGTGTTATCAGTGGAAACTTTGCCCTCGGGCAGATGGAAAATGAGCTCACCCTGTCTACATTAAATAGAAGTAAATCATTAGTCATTAATTGCCCAGTGTGAGTCTAATGGATAGTCTCAGGAGCACAGATGGATCTGCCAAAGTACATTTCTATGTAAAGAAAGGTAATAAACATACAAGAGGCCAGCTGTAGCTGAAGCCATTATCTCTTGTAACGTAGCGATGAGTGGAAGCTGGAGCCAAACGTATGGAAACACCCGGCGTAGGGAGACCCGGTGGGCGGCTAAAAATGCTTCACCAGATTTGCCACCCTCCCGCAGCAGATTCTGCCGAGCTGTTCCTGTGCCAAACTGTAACTGAGCGCCAAAAGATCCACGGAGGAGGCGTTTTCCCCCCAGAACTACCTTAATCTGGAACAGTGTGCCACAGAGCAGAGCAGTCAGGGGATTAGCTCCCTGCAGCTCAACGTTAAACCTGTGCTCATTGTTCCCCCACTCTCTCTCTCTCTCTCTCTCTCTCAACCACACACGTCACTGGATCGCTGCCCGTCTGCACTACAAACGCACACTCACGCGGCAGCAGGCGGCGTGTGAGTGAAACCTCAGTGAAACCAAACTTCTGGCTAGACTGTCATGTGTTGCGTGCAGCAGCCGTTTCATGAGGGAGATAACGAGTTTCACTCCATCCTCAACTGTGCCTGCTGAACGCAAACACTCACACCCTCTTCCTCCTCGGCCACACGCCAGAATCTCAACTACTGTTTCTTTCTTTTTACCAAGGGTGCCCGGCTTTTCCTTTTCTTGTGTAAGTGGAGACAAATGGGTTGGGTTGACTGGCAAATGCAAAAGTTGAAACTGGATATACTGGTATTGTGTTTACTGAGTGAGGCAGTCCCAGTCGCATGTGTCTCTTTGTGAAAGTGTCCTTTTGCATGATGTCATATCATATGGAGTCAAAGGAGGAAACTACATGTTGCTGTGGAAAAACACTGTCTGATTAGCCAAGCCACATTATTGGTGAAAGATGGAACTCTGAATGGGTAAACAAAAACATATATTATTGACCCACCCAGCCTCTGGTCTCCATTGCTCCAGGGGCATTTAACAGTGAAATCAGTCCATTTCGCCAAGGCACACTAATTAGTTATGCATTACAGAAATACAAAACAGCCCGAATCTGCGTAAACTTCTCCTCCGGCCAAGTTTAGTCGTACATTAATTAATGCAACGCAAGCAGTTGGGGCTCCTCTGCAACTGTGCCACTTTCACTGGGATCAAATGTGCACTTTGTGTTGTGTGTCACTGGCAATGCGAGCCCTGTCTTGAATTTCCACTGGCAGTCAGCAGAGAACTGGCAAGATAACCATAGTGTCAGACACATAAAAAAACAAACATAGACAGAGAGACACACAGAAAGACATAACACAGACACACGCAGAGACACACACACTGCCTGGGGCAGCAGGGAGGCCTGGCAGCCACCACAGTGATGGTCAGAGGCTCAAAGCTGCAGCAGAGAGTGGCTCCCTCTGCTGCACCATCTGTGCACCGGGCTCTCCTCCACGGCTCAGGGTGGGGGGTGCACACAAGGTGAACTCTGCTGCTATTTTTCCCACTGCCTTCATGAAGCTATGAGTACATAATCCTGTGGATATCAGCGGGCAAGTGACAGGCTGCAATAAAGTCATGAACCCTACTTCACCCATCCCTGGAAGAGGACAACAGCCAGCCCAGCTACATGTTCTGTAATTGTATTATTTGTTATTTTGTTGTTTTGTTGCAGATGCGAGTTACCACAACTGGTTTATCTGCGCGATTAGAAAAAGTTACCAACTGGGATTTTCATCAAGGTGTCTCGCATGTCGTTTGTAAGTGGGCTCCGGATGACCACCGGGGATGTGCTGCATCTTTACCCGGATCAGGAGCGCGATGCCCAGGGCAGCTCAGCGCGTAAACGCGAGGACCGACCGCTCATTAACTGCAGACGGAGAGAGTGAAGAAAACTGTCGAAGCATTATGCTGACACATGGTAACTAAAAGAAAACAACAACCACAGCCGAAGAATTTGAGGATTTACACTTAATTTTTTTCTTTTTGAACAGTTTTTTTCCGCTTTAAAGTGGGAACAACTTTAGCCTGGGTCCTTGCTAATGTTTTACCCGTGACAGCGGCAACAGACTAGCAGGACAGGGTTATAACAGTGTTACTCCTGATGCTCCCATTATCCTCCGCTGACCCTTTCTCCTCACTTCGCCTGACAACTCTTCCCCAAAACAAACACCTCAGAGATAACACAGCCGATAGCTTCAATGGCTCGGAGCAGATATTAGTCACTAATGCGTGAAATACAAACAGGACACGTCATTTGACCGTGTGTAATAACTGGGTGGTGTTAAACTACGGCAAAATTATTAGCTTTAATATTGTGTACCGACCAAAAAACAAACCGCAGACCAACGTTTGTGTCTCAAAGACCGGCCAACAGTCCACGCGCGCGAGAGGTGGTGGACTGCAACGGTCACTTCGTCATTTAATTCAGTTCGTCCGTTGAAACAAGAGACAGAAAGCCTCGCCGGTGTGAAGAACAGGGGGCAGAAATACACATACATATAAATGCTCCTCTCCCGGTAAGTCCGCTCACCCCCCCGTCTCCTGCCCGGGCATGCCCCTAGCTGCCCGCACATCTTGTTGACAAACTCCCAAACGAACAACGAGGCACTCCGCGGTGCTAACGGGCACGACGTGTCCCTTTTTGAATTCAAAATAAACGACCGTTGCACTCACCGCCAGCAAACGCGTTTTCCGTTGTGATCGGTGGTATCTTGACAACTTGCCGTTACCTCGATTCCTACGGACTGTGTTGGAGCGACTCGTATCCCTCTTTGCATTACAACCACTCATAGATGTTTGCTGACTAGAGGGGTTGTTTTTTCCCTCTGTCAAAGCGGTCCGCCCCGACGGCCGGGACCCGCCCCTTCAAAATAAATGTGAAAGGCACAGAGAGTCAGCTACACTGTGTTATGCAAATACAGCACACTGAAAGGACAGAAAATGCCCTTATTTCTGTTGCTAGAATCCATTAAGATTGGTATTTTAGCAAATGTTCAGTGGTGGAGGAAACCACATAGTAATTAAAATCCATGCATTGAAGATTGCAGTAACAAGCACTGCCAGCTAAATGCACTTGGAAGTATCAAATGTAAAAAGCCCTTAATGCAGAAAATATTGTATTGAAACATTTTACTGTTATAGTTCATTAAGGTTGCACTCATTTTAAGTATTTGTTGTACATTTTTGTATATATTTACACATATACAAAATATATATCTGTTTTGTATGTAAAATATATTAAAATGTACTAGCCTATACTTGTCAAATAAATGTGTGAAGTAAAAAGTACAATATTTCCCTCTGTACTGTGTAAAAGTATAAATTATCAAATGGAAATACTCAAGTAAAGGACATATAACTCAAATTTGCAGCCTACATAGTGTAGTCATTTCCATACCACTGCAAATGGGTTGATTACATATTTTGCCAAATTAGTCAGTAATTAGTGTTTATGCCTTCAGAATTAAAATAATAATAATTAAAAGCTGCTACATACTCAAATTGGTGTCTGCATAAGATGTTGAGCTCATAGTGTATTGTTGTTGAGGTAAAAAAAAATAAAACTGTGTCTGGCCCTTTAAGAGAACAGTCCTCCTCGCTGCCATAAGCTGGTGACACGCTGCGGACCAATCAGATGGTTTGTTTTGGTCCCGCCTTCTGCTTCGTGTATCTTGACACGTGGAGGGGGAAAAACACAAACCCAGATCAGACATGTGACTGCTTCACAGTCAGCTCAGCTCAGCTGATTGGGAGCTGCTGCTAGATAGAGTGATTGCACCCACCCAGTTACTGGGGGTCGCTGTGAGGATGAGTTGTGTACTGTCAGGGCAACAAATAGATTCACAAATTTAATTGTCACTCATGCATGTCAGTGTTCCACTGAACAGCAGCTGTTTTTTTTTTTTTTATCTCTGAACATGTGGCATGCTAACATTATTTGAGAGATATAATATAACATAACATGACCAGTGTTTATTAAGTATTGCATTTAACTGCAATTTTGAGGTTACCATGTCATGCTACTTTATGTTTATACCCTACACTTTATTTCAGAGGGAAATCTTGTACTTTTTACTCAACCATCTTACAGCCATGGTTAGTACCTTGCAGAGTATGATTCCATATACAAAACCTATTAAATATGCTTATTAAATATGATACCCTATTATATATACACTAATAAACAATGAAAAGCAAATGCTGTATTACTATGGCATCAGTAATAGTAATGCAAAGATGTAATATATATAACATAACGCTCTTGAAGGGACCTTCTGCTAAACAAATGTTTTTACGTTTGATACTTTAAAGACATTTTACAGATAATACGGCCACTTTTTTTATTTATGTAAAGTTTTAATAAAGGATGGGAATATTTCTGCCACCATTGAATAACATAGCAAAACATAACAAAACATGGGGTTCAAATGTCCTTAAATACATCCTGGCTCAACGACAATGTTTTGATATAAGCACAGAGCCATTTTCAGTCCATGCCCTGAGGGCACCCATTGTTGAACATGGTGGCCTCATCTGATGGATGCACAGTGACAGTGGAATAAACAGTAGCCGTGGCTGGTGACCCTCATTGCAGGGTGGGGGAACGCCTATCCATGGCATGACTCAAAAGAGGAAAGAAAAAAAGTACAGTGAAATCAAGCCTTATCTGTAAAAAGGGGTTACTGAGTTCAAAACAGCCAGGCGAGAATAGTGAGACTATTTGATCCTTCGTGTGAGTCAGATTTTTCCCAGGAGACAATTTCTGGATGAAAGCAGATGCTGTTGCTTTTGCGTGGAGCGTTGGTCAGCCCATGCAGGATGTTATGTTTTCACACTGTTCCACTCCTTTATTGTACAGCTGGTAACGTGCGAAGTGTGATTTTCTCAACTTGTCACAAAATTCCCATGCACAGTTTACTGGCAGACCAGCAAACAACCCCTGCTCAGCCTTGTCTAAGCTGCCGCTTGACGGCTCCCAACCCCCCATCCACACCAACCCCCTCCAACTCCAATCCTGCAGCGAAAAGGGACCCCACCCAAAATTTAGAAGAAGACATCAGATGGTGGTTGTTTTTGTGTGGCTCACTCTCCCTTTCTCCCTCTCTTTGTATGTGCTCACAAGTTGTCAGTCAACGAACATTCATGCAGATTTGCATGCATAGGAACAAAAATAAAAAACATTTTCCACAAGTGTTAACCTCCCTTTGCACGTTGCATTAAAAATATAGAATCAGATGGAAAAGTAGACCGCCTACTGACTCATTGCTTATATAAATATTGTTGTTTCTTCAACAGCATTTTTGAAGCATGTTTGAATTTCATAGCTGCGACATGAAGAGTCATGGAGGTGTCAGTAGCTAATATGTACTGAGTAATTCAGATGAACTCAAGTTTTATGTTGGCAGTAAATGCTATACCATTTCATCTGTTGTTGCCTGATCTTTTTAGATATTAATGATTTGAAGGACACAGCTGTGTTACGTGAATAATTACTAATAAATACCTCACCATTAAAGCACCTTTTGAAGAATAAAAAGCTGAATCAAAACAAAACAAAACCAAAAAAAACCCCCACTGGAATTAAAAAGTTTAAAACATCAGTTTGATGTGGTATTCAGACATTTAAAGCTACTTTTTAGAGGTGGAACCTTTCAAAAATTAATTAGTCCACTGTGTACTGCATTTGAAAAACAAAGAAATGAAAGAAATCGAATTGCCCATAAGCATTTTATCCCTTTTTTCCCCCTCCGAGTTCCCTTTATCAATAACTAATTAATGTTCCCAAACAACAGCTCCAAGAATAGTGCGTTTCAATCACAGTCAGTTATCTCATTGCCAATGGACTCTGGGGAATACAGTAGTTTTCATCAGTTAAACTGTGGTTCGGTGAAGTCTTTTTGAACACAGAGCTGTTAACCACATTTGTGTTGCAAATCGGATTTTGTTCTCTGTTTTGGCAGAGAACATAACATGATGCGCTGTCAACCGACGAGATTCAGAAACACAAACGTCATGCATTGTGCAATCTCATCCACTGTTTTAAGTCATTTGCTGTCTTTTACTTTCAAGTGCAAAGCCTCAGACCCTTTGAAGAGGAAAAACAGGCTTTGTGTTGGCGCTGAACTCAGAACTTGTCATCTAAACTGAAACTTCCAGTACCTCTAATGTGTCAGCTGCAGTGGCAGACAAAGTGTCCCAGCCCATTTTTATTCGAGCAATTTTCCCCAGTGAGGCAGTCAAAAATTATCCACAGTGAGTTATTTCTGACTACGTGCTGCCAGCGGAGGTGATAAGGCTCTGGATGTTGAAATTTTTCAAAGTTCACTGCATAATGATACAATTTGCTTTGTCGCCTTTTCCCTAATGGTGCCTGACGTCCAGACGCTTTGTCTTCAATCTTCAATCCGTTCCACACCCAAACAAGTCCATCAGTGTTTGTGCGTGTACTGCGTGCACTTTTCGCATCACAATTTCGTGGTTTCAATCACCTTGCAATTTAATTATCTACCTAAATCCCTGTTTTAGGAGGCTGTTTTTCATATAAATTGGTTGTGAAATTTCATGACAGAGATGCCAAGCTTTCACAGGTTATTGGAAACCTCTGTCCGCCTCCACCCCTCCTCCTCCTGCCTGTTCTGTCAACACCTCTTGATTTTAACCACAGGTACAGCAGGGGCTCAGCCAATGAACGTAGCTCTCCCCGAGTTCATCCAAAGGTAACACATTTGAAGCCCAGAACCACCCCAGGGGAAACACTTCCTTATGATTATGCGTATTTTGACACCACTTTAATGGCATGAATTAAATGCAACCCAATACAGAAGTAATGGGTAGGTTTTGGATAAAGTGTGGTATGGTAATGAATTTGTTGCACTGTGTCTTTCTATTTGTCTTCACATGTTTCCAGCTGCGATGGCAAGTTGAAGTAAATGAACACTTAATGATTACTGAGCAGCAGCGGCAGCAGCTCAGGTGGTAAACAAACCATTTGTTAGGCAGACTGGCAGCCTGATGACATCCAAAACAGTTCCTAGATCCAATTTGCAGGTGCCCTCGCACTGGAGTGCAGCCATATATCATTGTTTTTACAATGTTACTAGGCTATTCCTTTTATTACTTAAAATCCAGTGTGATTTCAATCATCATTTGTTATGATTTGATGGTATCACATAACACATATCTGTTTGCTTTTGAAGACAATTGAACACTTATCCAACAAGCTTCCGCACTACATCAGTCAGAACTGATTGACTCACTACCCCAACATATCTTATGAATTAGATGTCCAAGACACTTTACAGACTCATCGTTTGCACAAACCGTTCCAGAACTACTCTAACTGAGCCTTAAGGCTGGACTTGCACTTGCACTTTTTGAATTAAATGTGACAAAGTGCTCTTGAACAAACCACCAGGCTGTTCCAGGAGCACCTGTGCACTGACCTCCGTGCAGAAGCATGTAAGTATGTCTGGAAAACCAGAGGATAATTTTAGGTTTATCCAAATTTAAATCAAATTTTTGTAGTTTGGGCCAGTTTGTGTTTTTTTATGATCTTATGATATCACTTTGCTCGCCAGTGTAATTGCTGGCAAGCAAAGTGATATCTATCGGGGCGAAAATCACAACCAGACAATCAAACAGACAGGTTTGCCAGATTCTCTAAACCACTTTTGGAGGTAAAAGTTAGGAAAGTTATCAGACTTGAAATGTTAGTAATGATCCTTCATTGGACAGCAAAACTGTGTGTGCAAAGTATGTAAGTATTGCTGGTTAAAGTTATATCTGGAAGTCATTTTGTAAACTG